TTTCCGTTCCCGGCTTCTTCGTCCTCAGTCGGCGGCTCTCTTTCTGTCCTCTCTCTGCTTCGTCATCTGGAGAAACACCCGCCTCTCTCCTCCCTCGCCTTCCCTCACACATACACAAACTTGTAAGTGAAAGAGAATGTCAACAGAGCAAGTATTTTCTTTCCAGCACTAATGCCCCTATACCTATACCTTTTCATATTTAACTGCTAACTATGAAGCACAAAAGAAAGTGCAGTCAGAAACGGCTTTCCCTTTAGTCTCTGTAGGGAACTCTAAATGTGTGTCCCAAATGGCACCCAATTCACTATATAGTGCACTACTTTTGCCCAGATATGGGCTCTGGTCGAAAGTAGTGCACTACATAGGTTGATTACTCTCCTCTTTTCTCTTCACACTTCTCTGTCCTCCCTCCTTTCTTGTGGAGAGAGAGCCAGAGAGGGAGATTGAAGGACGGAGAGTGAAAGATGGGAAGAGCCAGAGAGGGAGATTGAAGGACGGAGAGTGAAAGATGGGAAGAGCCAGAGACCGAGAGAGAGCCAGACCAGAGTGGGAGTAAAAAGGGAAAAACGTAATGTAATTTCCCCTAAAGCAGTGGTATTCAAACTTTTTCAGCGGGGACCCCATTTTTTCTGCCAGAATTTCTGGGGATCAGAAGTATTTCACGCGACCCAACCCCAAATCTAATGACACAACCTTAAAATCGGTAAATGTTGATTTTTAAATCAACAAATAACCTTAAATTCATTGCATTTTCATCTCTTAGCAAAATGAAAATAAACCAATAAATACATTTACTCAATAAAATGTATTTTTCAAATTATCTTTCTCAAAAACGTTTGTATACTGTATATTTTTTGGATGACCCCTCTGTAGTTCCCACGCAACCCCGACTTTGAATACCACTGCCCTAAAGCCTTTCGCATGCTTCCTAGTTGAAACAGTTTGCACATATATTATGCCATTATTTTATTTTATGGGACGTTTTCGTTGGTTTTGGTGTTTAGCTTTTTTTTGTAGGAGTGGGAACTATGGACGGGATTCTTCAATTAAGTGTTTGTTGTCATTCAACGAGAGACGACTAGTTTTTATGCACATGTTTTCACAAATACTGCACCAAACATCTTAGTTAAATTTAAAATTGCTTGACTAAGACCTCCTCTGCAAAAACGTCCAAATAATTACAAACTTCTTGATTTATCTTAGATTAATTCAGACTATTTTGAGGAAGTGTTTACTGGCTCAGACGTTGGCTTTTGCCTAGCCGAGTTCTGCCTTAAGCCAGTCTGACAGGCATGCGTCCTTAAGCACATTAGTGGGAGAGAAGAAAAATACAACCTTTAGAAACCCTTGTCTTTAGCTCCTATTTTCTCTCCCAATTTCTTTCTTTCACGCTCTAAGCCCCCCACTCAACGCCGCTCTCCTCTCTTCCCCTCGCGCTATCTCCTAGAGAGGAGAAGAGCGAGAAGAAGAGAAGAAAAAGGAGGAGAGAAGAGAAGAGAGAGAACGGATGAGAAACGAGCTCCGAGCAGCGAGCTCCAGGTCGCGCGAGGCTGACGGAGGAGAGACAAGTCGGGCCGCGAGACACCGCAGATGACGGCGAGCGAGAGAGCCGTCAGCAGAGGCATCGAGAGCGCAGAGCTCGATCGCGAGACGTAAGCGGAGACGTAGTACGACGTCCGTAAGACGCTGCAGGACGAGAGCCTACATGAGAGGCAGACGAATGCCAGAGGCAGATGGGAAGGAAGGATACGCACGAGGTACGCTACTCGAAGAACATGACCAGACTGAGTAGCTAAGCTCTCTGAGACGGGTCACGCTCTCAGTCGATCTTCTGCTGTACTAACTACGCATTCTTCACTATTCGCTCTCTTCCTGATCTCTCCCTCCTCACACCTCTCTCCCTTACTCTTTCCTACTCTCCTCTCTCACTTCTTACTCTTCCTTCTCTCTTCCCCTCTCTCACCTTCTCTCTTCCCTTCTTCCTTCTCTCTCTCTCTCTCCTTCCTCTATCTCCCCTCTCTCCTCTCTCCCTTATCTTCCCGCTCTTCCTTCTCTCTCTCCTCTCTTCCTTCTATTCCTTCCTCACGCACACTCCTTTTTTCTTTATTTCTTTTGATATTTCATTCAGGTTTTCCATAGGTGAGCTCAGAGTTGCAACCTGTGAGTTGATTCAGATATTTTTATCTACAGTCTACAATCCATTCATATACATTAGCTACGTTCCAATATCCATACATGGATACCAATTATAATACACATCCAAGACATTGCTTCATATTCAGTCAGTGGTACTGTATGCTAGTGAGGATTGTCAACGGTACAGAACAATAACACCTTGCCTTTCGTGAACTAACACTCGCACTTTACTTTTTACGACTGGCACTGACTTTGCTGATAACTTCTTTATTGAGGAAAATATTACTTACTATGACTGAGATATGTGGTTGTCTCACCTAGCTATCTTAAAGGGATACTTCGGGATGTTGTCTACTTCCCTCGGAGTCAGATGAACTTGTGGATACTCGTGGTCCTCTGTAGCTCAGTTGGTAGAGTATGGCGCTTGCAACGCAAGGGTAGTGGGTTCGATTTCCGGGACCAGCCATACGTAAAAGTCTGCAGGCATTACTCTAAGTCGAATTTGGATAAAAGCGTCTGCTAAATGGCATATATTAAATTATATATTAAAATTTTTATGTCTCTGCGTGCAGTTTGACGGAAGTTGCTAACTCGCGCTAGCGCAATTGCTAACTAGCGCAATGAATGGAAGTCTATAGGTATCTGCTAGCATTTCCAGTCATTGCGCTAACGCTAGTTAGCATTGGATCGCAAAACTACCTCTAACTTCCTTCATACTGGACACAGAGACATAAACATTTTATCCAGAAGTTCATCTGACTCTGGGGAAGTAGATAAAGGGCCTCATTGCTAAAATCCCAAAGTATCCCTTTAAGATGAATGAGCTTAACTGTCGCACATAAGTCACTCTGGATAAGTGTCTGCTAAATTACTCAAATATGTAAATGCTTTTCTGACATTTCAAGTCCAGCAGCGGTGCCAAACTCTCCTCCCAGAGGGCTACCCTCCTGGAAGCTTTCTAGCCTGATTCTCTTAATTAGTAACCCACCAGGACCTTGATTAGCTGAATCGGATGAGTTGCAGTACAACAGGGTTGGAGCAAAAGCTTGCATAGCCAGTAGTTTTCCAGGAAGAGGGTTGGCCACACCTGAAGTAGAATATGATCACACATGAACAGATTCTTAGCATTAGCATAACACTGATTGTTATGTGAGCCACTCAATGTTTGGTTTTCACCCCCCTGCGCCCAATACATAAATGAATGAATATGAATGGGATATGGCTATCACTATCACATGCCGTAGTGATATCACTCTTCTAGTTTTGAAGGAGGGGTTTCTCATTCTTGGTCTGCATAGTCAGTGACATTCTCTCCCTCTCGCGGGCTCTCTCTCATGCTCTCTCTGTCTCTGTCTGTCTTTCTCTGTCGCTCTCTCTCTGTCTGTCTTCTCTCTGTTTCTCGCTGGTGTCGCTCCAGGGCAGAGACGGCTGTGGGAGGCAGTCAAGAGGAGGAAAGCCATGTGCAAGCGCAAGTCCTGGATGAGCAAGGTACATTTACACAAACTCATACATATCCATACATACAGTGAGGGAAAAAAGTATTTGATCCCCTGCTGATTTTGTACGTTTGCCCACTGACAAAGAAATGATCAGTCTATAATTTTAATGGTAGATTTATTTGAACAGTGAGAGACAGAATAACAAAACAAAAATCCAGAACAACGCATGTCAAAAATGTTATGAATTGATTTGCATTTTAATGAGGGAAATAAGTATTTGAACCCTCTGCAAAACATGACTTAGTAATTGGTGGCAAAACCCTTGTTGGCAATCACAGAGGTCAGACATGTCTTGTAGTTTGCCACCAGGTTTGCACACATCTCAGGAGGGATTTTGTCCCACTCCTCTTTGCAGATCTTCTCCAAGTCATTAAGGTTTCAAGGCTGACGTTTGGCAACTCGAACCTTCAGCTCCCTCCACAGATTTTCTATGGGATTAAGGTCTGGAGACTGGCTAGGCCACTCCAGGACCTTAATGTGCTTCTTCTTGAGCCACTCCTTTGTTGCCTTGGCCGTGTGTTTTGGGTCATTGTCATGCTGGAATACCCATCCACGACCCATTTTCAATGCCCTGGCTGAGGGAAGGAGGTTCTCACCCAAGATTTGACGATACATGGCCCCGTCCATCGTCCCTTTGATGCGGTGAAGTTGTCCTGTCCCCTTAGCAGAAAAACACCCCCAAAGTATAATGTTTCCACCTCCATGTTTGACGGTGGGGATGGTGTTCTTGGGGTCATAGGCAGCATTCCTCCTCCTTCAAACACGGCGAGTTGAGTTGATGCCAAATAGCTCAATTTTGGTCTCATCTGACCACAACACTTTCACCCAGTTCTCCTCTGAATCATTCAGATGTTCATTGGCAAACTTCAGACGGGCCTGTATATGTGCTTTCTTGAGCAGGGGGACCTTGCAGGCGCTGCAGGATTTCAGTCCTTCACGGCGTAGTGTGTTACCAATTGTTTTCTTGGTGACTATGGTCCCAGCTGCCTTGAGATCATTGACAAGATCCTCCCGTTAAAATTATAGACTGATCATTTCTTTGTCAGTGGGCAAACGTACAAAATCAGCAGGGGATCAAATACTTTTTTCCCTCACTGTACATACATACATATGTGGTCAAATATATTGGAACCATTGTATGAATCATTATCTCTTCTAAAATAACTTGAAATTGAAAAAACATTAGGTGTTAACGCGTGTATTTGTTTGATTTACAACTGCACAGGACCCCCCAAAATTTTTTTGGCAGAAATTTCGATTTTTCACTTCAAAGTCAAAAATGGACTGGACTAAATTATTCCAAATTGTGGGGTGCGTGTGTGTATAGGATCATTCAGCAGAAGGTTGGGAGTTCAGTTCAGGGTTGGGTGATGGTCTACCATCTTCACTGTTTTAATGAACCTCCCATACCCTATTTAGAACTCAGACTCACTACAGAGACCTACACACAGACTGATGAACAGACCCATTGACACACCGCAGCGACAACTAACCTGTCTTCACACAGACAACCAGTGGTACTGGTTCTTTGAATGTACAACTGAGGTTAAAGTCATAGGTTGGCTTGTCATCAGTGGCCAGTTTATTAGGTACATCTAGTACTGGGTCGGACCCCCCTTTGCCTCCAGAACAGCCTGAATTCTTCGGGCATGGATTCTACAAGGTGTGGTGTTCAAACGTTGCTCAATTGGTATCAGTGGACCTAACGTGTGCCAGGAAAACATTTCCCACACCATCACACCACCGCCACCAGCCTGTACCGTTGACACCTGGCAGGATGGGTCCATGGACTCATGCTGCTTATGCCAAATCCTGACTCTGCCATCAGCATGACACAACAGGAACTGGGATTTGTCGGACCAGCCGATGTTTATCCACTCCTCAATTGTCCAGTGTTGGTGATCCTGTGCCCGCTTGAGTAGCTTCTTCTTGTTTTTAGCTGATAGGAGTGGAACCCGGTGTGGTCGTCTGCTGCAATAGCCCATCTGTGACAAGGACCAATGAGTTGTGCATTCCGAGATGCCGTTCTGCACACCACTGTTGTACTGCGCCGTTATTTGTCTGTTTGTGGGCCGCCTGTTAGCTTCCATGATTCTTGCCATTCTCCTTTGACCTCTCCTCAACGAGCTGTTTTCGGCCACAGGACTGTTCCTGTTCCAGGCCGCTGACTGGATGTTTTTAGTTTTTTGCACCATTCTCGGTAAACACTAGACACTGTTGTGCGTGAAAAGCCCAGGAGCCGTTTCTGAGATACTGGAACCGGTGCTCCTGACGATCATACCACGTTCAAAGTTGCTTAGGTCACTCGTTCTGCCCATTGTAACATTCAATGGAACAGTAACTGAATGCCTCGATGCCTGTCTGCCTGCTTTATATAGCAAGCCACGGCCACGTGACTCACTGTCTGTAGGAGCGAACCATTTTCGTGAACGGGGTGGTGTACTTAATAAACTGGCAGCGGAGTGTATAAATATCTTAATGGTGAACAAGATATTCTCACTGCTTTAGTACTGTCCGTCTTTTTTCATACAGGTCAGATAACTCCTGTGCTACAGCACCCAAAGACTCGTTTACAATTAACGACATATCCTCTCTTCTCTTTCTCCAGGTGTTCAGTGGGAAGCGGACGGACAGTGGGGACTTCCAGCAGGCGGCCCCCACCTCCTCCTTCCGCAAGCTGTCCCCCACGCTGCCCCCCCAGACCCTGTCCCAGCCCCCCCAGCAGCAGGCACTCACCTGTCTGATCAGTGAGAAGGAACTGGCCCTCTTCGAGAAGCTGGGCGACGGCTCCTTTGGCGTGGTCAAAAGGGGCGAGTGGTTCACGCCCGCCGGGAAAGTGGTGAGAGGGATTGGGGGGTGAGAGGGTGTGGGTTCTGTGTGTCTTTCTGTCTCTGTCTCTGTCTCTGTCTCTGTCTCTGTGTGTGTGTGTGTGTGTGTGTGTGTGTGTGTGTGTGTGTGTGTGTGTGTGTGTGTGTGTGTGTGTGTGAGAGAGAGAGGCAGGTGGTGGGATAGGTTTTGGTCTAAATCTTACCCCCTATAGGTCCCCGTTTAGAAAACAGGGTCCCATCTAGACACATCTAATTCAGATGATCAATAATCGTTATCAGGGAAGAGAGAATACCGGCCCCCCAAAAAATGAACGGCAAGTGTTTTTGGACCGTGGGTGAAACAGAGACACTGTAGGCCTAATCAATTAGAGATGTTACTCTGGCCGCACAGACAGCACCTGTTTTTACACTTCAGTTGTTTCACCCATGCTTCTGGAACGGTTGTGGTAAAGTATCACAGTAAGGGGTCAGAATAGAAAGAGGAAGTGGAAGAAGGGGAGGAGGATATACAAGTCCCTCATGATCACCCTGGGAAACAGTATCAGTGGGTTCAAATTTCAAACCATGACAACATGGGAAAAATGACCAAAAACACCCTCCCTCCAACATCTGTTTTGGTTGACCCCTTGACCCCTATAGACTTGACCTTGAGGAAGAGAGTGAGTGAGGGAGTGATGGAGAAAGAGAGAATCTTGTCCAAACACTCTCCAGAAGTGACTGAGTGACCACACGCACACACACAAAGACACAGTACACACACACACAAACACACACACACACACACACACACAGTGACCACAACATGGCCAGATGGGACCAGTAAAGCCAGGTGCAGAGTCCCAACAGACAAAGGAATATGTGAATATGTGACACAAGGTTTACAGAGCCCATAGAACAGGGCTGTTCAAATCTTACCCTACGACAGGGATGGGTAACTCCAGACCTCGGACCCCAGCCCCAGCGAACACACCTGACTCCAATAATCAACGAATCATGATCTTCAGTTTAGAATGCAATTAGTTTAAAATCAACTGTGTTTGCTAGGGATGGGGGAAAAGTGTTACACCTCTCCGGCCCCTGAGGACTGGAGTTGCCCATCCCTGTCCTACGAGGTCTGGAGCCTGCTGGTTTTCTGCACCCGCCTGGTGTCCCAGGTCTAAATCAGTCCCTGATTAGAGGGGAACAATGAAAACATGCAGTAGAACTGTCTTCAGGGTCCAGAGTTGAGTTTGAGGGCTATAGAACATCTAGTCCAGTGGCTGAGCGCAGAACATCTAGTCCAGTGGCTGAGCGCAGAACATCTAGTCCAGTGGCTGAGCGCCAATCTAAAGGGAATAAGGTCTATTAACACTGATCAGCCACATAATGCTATAGTAAGAGCTCCATTCCTGTCATCTATTATCCTGCTGTATCATATACCTCATCATTACAGCACCATGCCGCTGTCCTTCGTAGCATTTAGCTTAGCAAATAGGGCCGGCCAGCTTGGCCAACAAACAAAAACCTTTAAAAAAATTAAGTATTGTTCAGGAAGCTCAATCTGGGGTGTATTCACTAGGAACCAAACGGAACCAATCTGGGGTATATTCACTAGGAACCAAACGGAACCAATCTGGGGTATATTCACTAGGAACCAAACGGAACCAATCTGGGGTATATTCACTAGGAACCAAACGGAACCAATCTGGGGTATATTCACTAGGAACCAAACGGAACCAATCTGGGGTGTATTCACTAGGAACCAAACAGAACCAATCTGGGGTGTATTCACTAGGAACCAAACAGAACCAATCTGGGAGGAACCAAACAGAACCAATCTGGGGTGTATTCACTAGTGGGGGGGATTCTGACCCGAGTTAAATGGAAAGTAATTCCCTTTTGATGCACTTTTCTCTCTACACGTTTTTCTGATCTTGAACTAAAGCATGATAAATAGCATTATAATCACCTGCTATTCATTTGGGGTGGAGATCAAAGAAATGAAGGTGTGGCGCCGTTTTCTGACCTTGACTTAATTCGTTCTTAATTCCACCAACTTTACGTGCGATTAAATGATGAATAAAGTCAAGCAACCTGGCAGTTTTAAGTGGAACAAAATCTTTTTTTTCTCCAATAGAAATAATACCTTTCTCCATGCACTGTAATTTACAAATTGATAAGAGCTATTGATAAGAGCTAGGTAAATGAGTAAGCCGTTTGGATAAGGGGATTGTAAATATAAATGACAATTGAGTTAGATCTATTTTACCTTCTGATCGCTGGTGACAAATGTGAAACCAGTCATATGGCAGCAAACTGAAGCATATCAACATATCACCTTTATGTTTATGAAACCTTATAACCTGCAGGGATGACATTTGGAGACCCAAGCTATAGGCTTCTGTAGCCATGCGCAAATGACAGAATATATCGCCAAACCTACCGAGTTGATTTATGATTTCTAGAATGTTTTAATTATATGCCCAGACTTTTTACCATTTGTATCGTGTTAAATATTAGCCACTATAGGTAGACACCTTCAGTTATACCCCACATACATTTACAACTGCCACTTTAGTGTTAGTTTCATTACATTTAGCATCATTCCATTCCATTCCATTATGAGTTTACCTTTCTTTCCTCTGTCACGTTTCTGTGGTTGTTCCTGAATCCTGAGGAGCCCTAGCAATATTGGATCATGTTAGGCTAACATATTACAAGTTGTAGCCTATTTCAATCATGATGGAACGCAGACCATGTGTAGCAGTTTAAACATGGATCCTTGCACACGGTTCACAACGACTGGACCGTTGTCATTCGGTTCCATGTTTAGTGAGAATTAGGGTAGATTTATAGGATTATTGTTCAACCCCTATTGTACACTTTTTCCCACCTTTTAATATTTCATGTATTGAACTTGAATATGGCAACTTTCAGGATGAATCAAACCACTGTATTTTCTATTCACCAATATATTTTGTGCGTAAAGGCTCTCCAAACTTTTCTTTTTAAATTATTGATAAATACTTTTCTAACCCTAAATAATCTACAAGATCAGAGTATTTTGGGATCTACCAATTGGTGCTGAAAATGAGACGAATATGCGTGTATTTACATGGCTTTCTTTCATTGAGCAGTAATTTTCTGAACCGTTCTCTCCATATATTTTAGTGGGTCTGTCGAGAAAATTGGAACGAAGGGTACACCAAATTTAAAGGGATGGGTTTAGATAAATGTGCTGAAAACCCTATTGAATGAAAACTCTGAAAATCTGTTGGCCAGCAAGTGGGAGTGTTTTCAGCGGTTGAATAAAATGTATTCAGCGCGCCAAGGCAACCACGCCTGTAAAGCCCGTTACGCTCCTGCATAAGGTAAGCCTGAATACCAACTACTGAGAAGTGCGTAGGAAATGCGTTTCCTAAGTCTGAGTCGGGCCCCATGAACAAAACAGAACCAATCTGGGGTGTGTTCACTAGGAACCAAACAGAACCAATCTGGGGTGTGTTCACTAGGAACCAAGCAGAAGCAAACGGAAGCAAACGGTTGCATGAATACACCCCTGGTGCTCTATTGTCTCCGAGTTTTAGATTGTTCCACGGCCACCACACTGTTAGTAAGCGCAACTGTAGTCACTCAAAGTAAACATTTGCTAGCTAACCATCAATCGTTTTCACTATGGATTTAGCATTATGCTAACCCATCCCATCCCCCTCTCCATCTCTCTCCTCTCCCTACCCCCTTCTCCTCTCCAGTTGGAGGTAGCAGTCAAGTGTCTGAAGACAGACATGCTGAGGCAGCCGGACGCACTGGACGACTTCATCTGCGAGGTGAACGCCATGCACTCCCTGGACCACCAGAACCTCATCAGGCTGTACGGGGTGGTGCTCACACACCCCATGAAGATGGTACGGACACACACATCTGCATACGTATATGCCACAGGAGGCTGCTGAGGGGAGGACGGCTCATAATAACGGCTAGAATGGAGTAAATGGAATGGCATCAAACACATAGAAACCATGGAAACCACATGTTCCATGTATTTGATACCATTCCACCTATTCTGCTCCTGACATTACCATGAGCCCATCCTCCCCAAATTAAGGTTCCTCCAACCTCCTGTGGTGCATACATACACACACACACACACACACACACACACACACACACACACACACACACACACACACACACACACACACACACACACACACACACACACTCTTTTGCACTTTGTACTTGTTTTTTCTTTCTAGCACACACACACACGCATGCACACAGAGAGATAAGTAAACACACTGCTCAGACTGCTTCCTGTCAAGACTGCTTCCTGTCAAGACTGCTTCCTGTCCCCATTTAAATCATGTCAGAGTCAGAAATCTCAAGGCCGGGAGGAGGAGAGGAGTGATTGATCGAGACAGATGACTAAAATGAAAGCTGACCTTTCCTCCCTGTTCTATTCATCTGCGCCATATTATCCCCCAGGTGACTGAACTAGCCCCGCTGGGCTCCCTCCTGGAGCGTCTGCGCTGCGTTCAGCCGCAGGAGCCCGTCCTCATCCACACGCTGTGCCAGTACGCCATGCAGGTGGCGTGCGGCATGGCCTACCTGGAGCAGCGGTGCTTCATCCATTGCGACCTGGCCGCCCGCAACATCCTGCTGGCGTCGGACAAGAGGGTGAAGATCGGCGACTTCGGCCTGATGCGATCGCTGCCCGACAACCACGAGCACTACGTGATGCAGGAGCACCGCAAGGTTCCGTTTGCCTGGTGAGGTGACAGGAGGAGAGGGGTTGGGTGAGGGGGACAGGGGAAGGTGGTTGGTGAGAGGGGTTGGGTGAGGGGGACAGGGGAGGTGTTTGGTGAGAGGGGTTGGGTGAGGGGGAAAGGGGAAGGTGGTTGGTGAGAGGGGTTGGGTGAGGGGGACAGGGACGGGGAAGGTGGTTGGTGAGAGGGGTTGGGTGAGGGGGACAGGGGAAGGTGGTTGGTGAGAGGGGTTGGGTTAGGGGGACAGGGACAGGGAAGGTGGTTGGTGAGAGGGGTTGGGTGAGGGGGACAGGGACGGGGAAGGTGGTTGGTGAGAGGGGTTGGGTGAGGGGGGAAAGGGGAAGGTGGTTGGTGAGAGGGGTTGGGTGAGGGGGACAGGGACAGGGAAGGTGGTTGGTGAGAGGGGTTGGGTGAGGGGGACAGGGACGGGGAAGGTGGTTAGTGAGAGGGGTTGGGTGAGGGGGACAGGGACGGGGAAGGTGGTTGGTGAGAGGGGTTGGGTGAGGGGGACAGGGACGGGGAAGGTAGTTGGTGAGAGGAATTGGGTGAGGGGGACAGGGGAAGGTGGTTGGTGAGAGGGGTTGGGTGAGGGGGAAAGGGGAAGGTGGTTGGTGAGAGGGGTTGGGTGAGGGGGACAGGGACGGGGAAGGTGGTTGGTGAGAGGGGTTGGGTGAGGGGGACAGGGGAAGGTGGTTGGTGAGAGGGGTTGGGTGAGGGGGACAGGGAAGGTGGTTGGTGGTTGGTGAGAGGGGTTGGGTGAAGGGGACAGGGACGGGGAAGGTGTTTGGTGAGAGGGGTTGGGTGAGGGGGACAGGGAAGGTGGTTGGTGGTTGGTGAGAGGGGTTGGGTGAAGGGGAAAGGGACGGGGAAGGTGGTTGGTGAGAGGGGTTGGGTGAGGGGGACAGGGGAAGGTGGTTGGTGAGAGGGGTTGGTTTAGGGGGACAGTGACAGGGACGGGGAAGGTGTTTGGTGAGAGGAATTGGGTGAGGGGGACAGGGGAAGGTGGTTGGTGAGAGGGGTTGGGTGAGGGGGACAGGGGAAGGTGGTTGGTGGGGGGTGAGTGGGAGGGTGTTGTGTTTTTGTATGTGTCGTTGTGATCAGGGGCCACATTCAGTAAGCAAATGTCTGACGTTGCAGATAGAAATGTCATGAATAGAGCAGACATGATTATGTTATTCGACATGTCTACATTTTTATCTGAACATTCCACAACATTGTGCCCCTGATGTGCCCCTGATGTGCCCCTCCCTGCATGCCATATTGTGTGTGTTTTTGATCCAGTAGTCTAACGTGTGTCTGTCCTCCCCCTCCAGGTGTGCCCCTGAGAGCCTGAAGACGCGGATATTCTCCCACGCCACAGACACCTGGATGTTCGGGGTGACGCTGTGGGAGATGTATACCCACGGACAGGAGCCCTGGCTGGGCCTCAACGGCAGCCAGGTACACACACACACGAACACACACACACACACACACGAACGAACACACACACACGAACACACACACACACACACACACACACGAACGAACACACACACACGAACACACACACACGAACACATACAAACACACACACGCACGAACACACACGAACACACACGAACACACACACACATGAGCACACACACACACACACGAACACATACAAACACACACACACATGAACACACACGAACACACACGAACACACACACATGAGCACACACACACGAACACATACAAACACACACACACACGAACACACACGAACACACACACACACACACACACACGAACACATACAAACACACACGAACACACACACACACGAACACACACACACACAGCAAACACGAGCAGATGTGTGTAGAAGTATTTGGCTCCTTTGCACGTCAGCTTTCATCGTGGGTTTAATTTCAGTATTTCAATCTGTGTTTCAGATCCTACACAGGATGGACAAGGAGGGTGAGCGTCTGCCCAAGCCAGAGGACTGTCCCCAGGACATCTACAGCGTCATGCTGCAGTGCTGGGCCCAGAAAGCTGACCACAGGCCCACCTTCGTCGCCCTCAGGGAATTCCTGCTCGAGGTACACCCCCCTGTGGACGTGTTTAACTGTTCTGGTGGGGTCCAGAAGTCCCCGCAAGAACAGTAAATGAACAAAAATTTGACCAACTGGGGGACATTTTGTTAGTCCCCACAAGGTCAAATGCTATTTCTAAGGGGTTTTAGGGTTAAGGTTAGAATTATGTTAAGGGTTAGGGTTAGGAGCTAAGGTTTAGGGTTAGGGTTAAGGTTAGGTTTTTGGGTTAATGTTAGGGTTAGGACTAGGATTAGGGTTAGGGAAAATAGGATTTTGAATGGGACTGAATTGTGTGTCCCCACAAGGTTAGCTGTACAAGACTGTGTGTGTGTGGGGGGTGTCTGTGTGTATACATCAGAATTTACATTTACATTTTAGTCATTTAGCAGACGCTCTTATCCAGAGCGACTTACAGTTAGATTTGCATTTACATTTGCATTCTGTGTATGATTCCATGTGTGATTCCTTGTGTGATTCCATGTGTGTATTTGCATGTCTGAGTATATTTTGAATGTGTATGTTCAAGGTTGTATACATGACCTTCATGAGCGACGACTGTTACGTTCTGACGTCAAGTTTAGTGGATCAATTTGCTTACAAACTGACATGTCAGTACTGAATACTTAACCTGTATACACAATTTGTATAAAATGTAATTTAATTTGAATTATTTATTATTTATTTGCATTATTAAATGACAAGATTAAGTCTGATTTTGGGAGCCCTTAATGTGTTAAATGGAGCTATAGCCCCACCTAGTGAAACTTCTACGGTACTGAATGGTGATGGGCACTGTATGGTCAGGGGCACACTGTATGGTCAGGGGCACACTGTATGGTTAGGGGCACACTGTATGGTCAGGGGCACACTGTATGGTTAGGGGCACACTGTATGGTCAGGGGCACACTGAATGGTCAGGGGCACACTGTATGGTTAGGGGCACACTGTATGGTCAGGGGCACACTGTATGGTCAGGGGCACACTGTGTGGTCAGGGGCACACTGAGTGGTCAGGGGCACACTGTATGGTTAGGGGCACACTGTATGGTTAGGGGCACACTGTATGGTCAGGGGCACACTGAATGGTCAGGGGCACACTGTATGGTTAGGGGCACACTGAATGGTCAGGGGCACACTGTATGGTTAGGGGCACACTGTATGGTCAGGGGCACACTATATGGTCAGGGGCACACAGTATGGTCAGGGGCACACTGTATGGTTAGGGGCACACTGTGTGGTCAGGGGCACACTGTATGGTTAGGGGCACACTGTATGGTTAGGGGCACACTGTATGGTTAGGGGCACACTGTGTGGTCAGGGGCACACTGTATGGTCAGGGGCACACTGTATGGTCAGGGGCACACTGTATGGTCTGGGGCACACTGTATGGTTAGGGGCACACTGTATGGTCAGGGGCACACTGTATGGTCAGGGGCACACTGTGTGGTTAGGGGCATATTATGGCCTCACCAACTGAGGAATCCTAACTTGATGAACTCACAATTTGATTTCAATGTAGGTTTTGGGCTGAAATGACTACATTCGGATACCTTGTTGGGGTGCAGTGTGTGTTTAATGTGTATGTCTCCGCTCCAGACCATGCCAACAGACATGTGCGCGCTGCAGGACTTTGAAGAGGCTGACAAGCTTCAGATTCAGGTCAACGACGTCATCACCATCATCGAGGGCAGGTGTGTGTGTGATCAACTAATGAACTGTAAATCAATATTCTGTCGTCATTGGGTTTTTCTATGTATGTTTTGTGTCTGTGCATGTATTGTCAGAGTGTATCTGTGTTCATGGGTATATGTGTGTGAATCTGCACGTGTGTTTGTGTGTGTGTGTGTGTGTGTGTGTGTGTGTGTGTGTGTAGGCTATGCGTGTGTATCTGCACCCACATGTGTATGTACCTGCCTGTGTATGTGTTATGTCCTTATATACCTGTATATGTTATGTCCTTATATACCTGTATATGTTATGTCCTTATATACCTGTATATGTTATGTCCTTATATACCTGTATATGTTATGTCCTTATATACCTGTATATGTTATGTCCTTATATACCTGTATATGTTATGTCCTTATATACCTGTATATGTTATGTCCTTATATACCTGTATATGTTATGTCTTTATATACCTGTATATGTTATGTCCTTATATACCTGTATATGTTATGTCTTTATATACCTGTATATGTTATGTCCTTATATACCTGTATATGTTATGTCCTTATATACCTGTATATGTTATGTCCTTATATACCTGTGTTACGTGCGTGTGCTTGTGTTTCTGCAGTGCATCCATTTGTGTGTCTGTTCTGTCTGTCTGTCTGTCTGTCTGTCTGTCTGTCTGTCTGTCTGTCTGTCTGTCTGTCTGTCTGTCTGTCTGTCTGTCTGTCTGTCTGTCTGTCTGTCTGTCTGTCCTGTCCTGTCCTGTCCTGTCCTGTCTGTCTGTACTGTATCTGTGTGTTTTCTCACATTCACCTGTACGTCGACCTACAACCCTCTTTCTCAGAGCGGAGAACTACTTGTGGTGGGGCCAAAACAAGCGCACGCTGAAGGTGGGCCAGTTCCCCAGGAACGTGGTGACCTCGGAGGCGGGCCTGTCGGCCCACGACATCAGCAGACCCCTTAAACACAGCTTCATCCACACTGGCCACGGAGACTCCGACCCACACCGCTGCTGGGGCTTCCCAGACCGCATTGACGAGTAAGTCATGTCCTCATAACTAACCCTAACCTTAAATCATCTACGAGTAAGTCATGTCCTCATTAACTAACCCTAACCTTAAATCATCTATGAGTAAGTCATGTCCTCATTAACTAACCCTAACCTTAAATCATCTATGAGTAAGTCATGTCCTCATTAACTAACCCTAACCTTAAATCATCAATGAGTAAGTCATGTCCTCATAAGTAACCCGGACCACATTAACGATTAAAGACATGTCCTCATACTTCCTCCATCTACCTGTCCCATCCTTGTAAAATCTGATCAAATTTGATCAAATCTATAAAATTGTGACACTTGCAGTTGAGCGAGTGTATACGTTTTTTAGTAAAGGGAATCGAACCCACAAACTGGGCATTGCAAGTTCTATGATCTAAACAACTGAGCCACACAGGAGTCAAGGTTGCCAATAAATACAGTATCTTCAGTGAGTCTAGGTTGCCATTGGTTTTCTGACCACTAGAGTGCAGTAGAGTATCGTTCATCTTACTGTTTAGTCAGCTGACGCGTAGTTGAAATGACCACATCAGGCAGACCAGGGGTGCCTTAAGCAGGATGCAAGGTTTTGGAACAATCAAATAGAAATATGCTATGTAGAACAAACATTGCACTCTGACCTGTATTGGTATTTCTATCTGCAACATTCGATAACGTTTGGCAATTGAATGTGGCCCAGGGTTGGATAAACAGATGTGAAACCTGGGGCGAGCCACTGTACACCTGATTTATGGCTAGCCCTTGGTAAAGAACCTCTTGGTATGGAAAGTCAATAAATTCCCCCTCTCTCTCTGTCATGCTTGCTGTCTCTCTGTCTCTCTCTCTGTCTCTGTCTCTGTCTCTGTCTCTGTCTCTGTCTCTGTCTCTGTCTCTCTCTCTCTCTCTCTCTCTCCTCCTCTCTCTCTCTCTCTCTCTCTAGTCTGTACTTAGGAAACCCCATGGACCCACCAGATGTCTTGGGGTTGGACCTCAATGCTGCCCGGCCCACTCAGCTACCGGGACGAGCAAAAAGTGAGTGGCCGGTTGCTAAACAACCTACTGCCCCTGTCCCATAACACTATTATATTGGACAACTATTGTCAGTGACTCGAGGAAGTATGTTTTTCTTGGTGGTTGATGTTTCTCTTGGTGGTTGATGTTTCTCTACGTGGTTGATGTTTTTCTTGGTGGTTGATCTTTCTTGGTTGATCTCCGTCTTATTCTGGCTTTTCTGAACTTGACTGTTGACACAATGTGTCCAATCTGACTTGTACTCTTGCCTTTTAGCTTTTTATTCATTTGTCTGTCCTCCTTTTTCTCTTTCTCTCTCTTTCCCTTTCACATGCTTTTTCTCTCTCTCCCTCTTTCTTTCTTTCTTTCTTTCTTTCTTTTCTTTTCTTTGTCGTTACTTTCTTTATCGTTCTTTTCTTTCTTTCTTTCTTTGCTTTCTTTCTATCTTCTCGTTCTTTCTTTCTTTCCTTTCTTTTCTTTCTTTTCTTTCTTTCTTTCTTTCTTTCTTTCTTTCTTTCTTTCTTTTCTTTCTTTTCTTTCTTTTCTTTTCTTTCTTTCTTTTCTTCTTATTTTCTTTCTTTTCTTTCTTTATCCTGTTCTTTCTTTCTCCTCTTTCTTTGCTTCTTCTCACTCTCCTCCCTTGCTCCCTCTTCCCCTATCTCTCCTTCTCTCTCTGGTGGAGCCCCTACCCTGCCCCGCCCCGCCCAGCCAGCAGTGTTTGTCAAGAGTAAGTCTGGTCTCTCCCCCCAGCCAGTCTGGTCTCTCCCCCCAGTCAGTCAGTCTGGTCTCCCCCCAGTCAGTAATTCTGGTCTCTCCGCCCAGTCAGTCAGTCTGGTCTCTCCCCAGTCAGCCAGTCTGGTCTCTCCCCCCAGCAGTCCGTCTGTCTCCCCCCAGTCAGTAATTCTGGTCTCTCCGCCCAGTCGTCAGTCGGTCTCTCCCAGGCAGCCAGTCTGGTCTCTCTCCCCAGCCGTAATTCTGGTCTCTCCCCCAGCCCTCCCTGGTCTCTCCCCCCAGCCAGTCTGGTCTCTCCCCCCAGCCAGTCTGGTCTCTCTCCTCCCCAGCAAGTAGTCTGGTCCTCCTTCCCCCCCATTCGGTATCTGGGGTCTCCGCCCCCCAGTCAGCCGTCTTGGTCTCTCCCCCCAGTCAGCCAGTCCTGGTCTCTCCCCCCATACAGCTCAGTCTGGTCTCCCCCCCAGCCATTCTGGTCTCTCCCCCAGCCCTGGTCTCTCCCCCCAGCCAGTCCCTGGTCTCTCTCCCCAGTCAGTAAGTCTGGTCTCTCCCCCAATCAGTCAGTCTGGTCCCTCTCCCCCAGTCAGTAATTCTGGTCTCTTCCCCCCATCCAGTCATCTGGCTCTCCCCCAGTCAGTAATTCTGGTTCTTCTCCGCCCCAGTCAGTCGTCCCTGGTCCTCCTCCCCCCCAGTCAGTAATTCTGGTCTCGTCCCATCATCTGGTCTCCCCCCGTCATTAATTTCTGGTCTCTCCCCCCAGTCAGCCAGTCTGGTCTCTCCCCCCAGTCAGTAATTCTGGTCTCTCCCCCCAGCCAGTCTGGTCTCTCCCCCAGCCAGTCCTGGTCCCGCTCCCCCCCCCCCCCAGTCAGAGTCTGGTCTCCCCTCCCCCAGCCAGTCTGGTCTCTCCCCATTCAGTCAGTCTGGTCTCCTTTCCCCCCCTTCAAGTAAGTCTGGTCCTCGTCCCCCCAGTCAGTCAGTCCTGTCTCTCCCCCCAGTCAGTCATCTGGTCTCCCTCCACCCAGTCCAGCCCAGTCTGGTTCTCTCCCCCCGTCAGTACGTTCTGGTCTCTCCCCCCAGTCAGCCAGTCTGGTCTCTCCCCAGTCAGTAAGTCTGGTCTCTCCCCCCAGTCACCAGTCCTGGTCGCAGCCCACCCCCCCAGTCAGTCTGGTCTCTCCCCCCAGTCAGCCAGTCTGGTCTCTCCCCCCAGTCAGCCAGTCTGGTCTTTCCCCCAGTCAGTCCGTCTGGTCTCTCTCCCCAGCCGCCAGTCTGGTCTCTCCCCCCAGTCAGTAAGTCTGGTCTCTCCCCTCTCCCCCCAGTCCAGCCAGTCTGGTCTCTTCTCCCCAGTCCGCCAGTCTGGTCTCTCCCCCCATCAGCCAGTCTGGTCCGCCCCCAGCCAGTAAGTCTGGTCTCTCCCCCCAGTCAGTAAGTCGGTCTCAATCCCCCCAGCCAGTCCTGGTCCTCCCCCAAGTCAGTCAGTCTGGTCTCTCCCCCCCATTCCGTAAGTCTGGGTCTCTCCCCCCAGTCCAGTAATCCTGGGTCTCTCCCGCTTTCCCCAGTCGTCTGTCGCTGCCCCCCAGCCAGTCTGGTCTCTCCCCCCAGTCAGTCAGTCTGGTCTCGTCCCCCTCAGTCTGGTCGCTCCCCCCAGCCAGTCTGGTCCTCTCCCCCCGTCCAGTAGTCCTGGTCTCTCTCCCAGTCAGTAGTCTGGTCTCTCCCCCCAGTCGTAAGTCTCTAGTCTCATTCTCCCCCCGTCGTAAGTCTCTCCCCCCGTCAGTCTTGTCTCCCCCCCCGCCAGTCTGGTCTCTCCCCCCCGTCAGTCGGTCCCTCCTCCCCCCCGTCGCCAGTCTGGTCTCTCCCCCCAGGTCAGTCGAGTCTGGGTCTCTTCTCCCCCCAGTCAGTCAGTCTGGGTCTCCTCTTCCCCATGTCAGTCAGTCTGTTCTCTCCCCCCAGTCCAGTATTCTGGTCTCTCCCCCCAGTCAGTACGTCGGGTCTCTCCCCCCAAGGGGGTTTCAGCCAGTCTGGTTCTCCCCTATCCCCCCGTCAGTCAGTCTGGTCTCTCCCCCCAGTCCAGCAGTCTGTGTCCTCCCCCCAGTCAGTAATTCTTGTCCTCTCCCCAGTCAGTAAATTCTGGGTCTCATCTCCACTCCCAGCCAGCTTTGTCCTCTCTCCCCAGCCAGTAAGTCGGTCTCTCCCCCAGCCGTAGTCTTGTCTCTTCCTCCCCCAGCCAGTCCTGGTCTCTCTCTCCTCTCTCCCCAGCCATTAAGGCTGGTCTCTCCCCCCAGTCGTCCGTCTGTTCTCTCCCCCCATCCAGTCTGGTCTCTCCCCCCCAGTCATAGTCCCTGGTCTCTCCCCCCAGTCAGCCAGTCTGGTCTCTCCCCCCAGTCAGTCAGTCTGGTCTCTCCCCCCAGCCATTCTGGTTCTCTCCCCCCAGTCAGCCAGTCCTGGTCTCTCCTCCCCAGTCATCAGTCCTGGTCTCTCTCCCCCCAGTCATCAGTCTGGTCTCTCCCCCCAGTCAGTACGTCGGGTCTCTCTTTTCTTCTCCCCCCAGCCAGTCTGGTCTCTAAACCCCCAGTCATTAAGTCTGGTCTCTCCCCCCATCAGAGTCTGGGGTCTCTCCCCCATCATAAGTCTGTCTCTTCCCCCTCGCCCGTCTGGTCTCCTCCCCCAGCCGTCTGGTCTCCTCCCCCATTCAGTCCAGTCGGTCTCTCCCCCAGTCAGTGAAGTCGGTCCTCTCCCCCAGTCAGTAATTCTGGTCTCTCCCCCCCAAAAAAAGGTCAGTAAGTCCTTGTCTCTCCCCCAGTCAGTCAGTCTGGTCTCTCCCCCCAATCAGTCAGTCTGGTCTCCCCCCCCCAGCCAGCTGGTCTCTCCCCCAGCTCCCCATTGCTCCCCCTCATCTTCTGTTCTCTCCTACTCATCCTCTCCTCTTATATCTGTTCTCCTCCCTTTCCTTCTAATCTGTCCTCCTCAAAAGGTACACACACCTGTTCAATCTCTCCTCTCCCTCTCTCTCTCTCCCCCCTCTCCTCTCCCCTCCTCCTCTCCGTCTCTCTCTCCTCCCTCCCCCCTCTCCCTTCCTCCTCTCCTCTCCTCTCCTCTCCCTCATTTCCTCCTCTTCCTCCCCTCCCCCTCATCCTATCCTCTCTCTTCTTCTCTCTATCCTCTCCTCAAGCTCTCCTGGCTACACTCCCCTAAACTAGCCAGCCCTTACTCACCGAGCTGCGACTGTCATCTCGCACGTACCCGCGTCTATCCTCGTCCATGCTCCAATCAGCCCTCCTCCTTCATCAGCGTCCCAGAACTCTCGCCATCCGAGAGCGCCAAATCGGACCAGGACCAATCACCGCACGCTCTGCAGCGAGAGGAAACAGGGATAGGAAACAAAAGGCGAAGAAGGACTAACAGAGGGGATCGCTCAAACTAGCTGACTCCGTCGTCTCATAGCCTCCTCTATCATCCCTCTGCCTCGTCCTCTCCTCTCCCTCCATCCCCCTCTCTCCACAGCCCTCTCCCCCCGCTCTCCTCTCCACCTCTCTCCCTCCTCTCCTCTACTCTCCTGTCCCTCCTCTCCACCTCTCCTCTCCCATCTCTCCCACTAACAGGGTTGCAGTCTGGGTTGCTGTGCATTGAGTGGTTAACCCTAACCAGAGAGTTAAGAATGAACGTATGTGTGGCCTCAACTTGAACTATTATGTAGAAATGTGTGTATTGCAGCCTGGCTTAAAATATAAGTTATTACGGTAGTTTTTAATGTTTATGATTACGGTTGTTTTTAATGTTTATGATTACAGTAGTTTTTAATGTTTATGATTATGGTTGTTTTTAATGTTTATGATTACGGTCGTTTTTTAATGTTTATGATTACGGTTGTTTTTAATACTTATGATTCCATCCTAAACATCTTTAAAGAGCAAATGTTCTCTGTAGTATTGTGTTCGTTTCCATTCATGTACAATGCATGCAATGCACACAATGTATTTATATTCACACATTACAGGACACACTGAGGAATATTATCTATTCATTACAGGGACATTATGTGCATAAATAAACCTTACATCAAAGGCAGCCCTCAAGGTTGAGCACTCAAGGTAGACAGCTGGGGGCTTGGGGATGGACTACAGTGCTACATGAGTAATGAGAGGTTACAGAGTTGAAGTATATAGTAATGTTGCCAAAGTCGTTAGATGCCAATGTCGTTAAGTTGTGTGTGTTTGTCTGTTTGTTTGTCCAGAGCCATGCTACGACTCAGTGACTGAGGACGAGGAGCTGTCTCTACGGAAAGCAGGCTCCAGCCTCAAGCTCAAACCATCCGCCGCGGTCTCCGCCTCCAAACAGGACGAATGGAATACGGGTTCAGGCCACACCCCCAGCGAGGTGTCGCTCATCGACTTTGAAGAGGAGTTTCCCCCGGCGACACCCTCCCCTTCCCCAGTGGTGGAGCTCCAGGTGCCCTCATTGGCCAAGCTGGGCCTGGAGGCGGGGTCTATTCTGGACCAGACTCCTCCTCAGAGCCCATGGCGCTCGCTGCCCCGCCCCTTACACCCCACGCCAGTGGTGGACTGGGACGCCCGGCCCTTACCTCCACCTCCTGCGTACGATGACGTGGCGCAGGACGAGGAGGACATGGAAGTGAGCTCCATCAACAGCCTGGAGCAGGAGCAGCAGCAGCAGGATGGGAGGGGTGAGAATCCCACGGAGGCCATGCCGGCTGGGGAGGAGGGGAAACCCCTGGAGGACAACCTCTTCCTGCCCTCTCAGCAGGGCCAGGCCTACACATCCTTCTCCCAATCAGCAGAGATCTTTCAGGTGCTCCAGCAGGAGTGCATGAGGAGGCTCAATGTGCCCACAGGAGGAGTTCCCCAGCCCCACTCTCCGTCACCGAGCTCAGGCCTCCAGTCCATAGACGTACACCGCCATATCATCCTGTCCTACTCCGAGGACAAGCCCCAGATCCCTCCCCGCATTCCCATCCCGCCACGCCCCGTCAAACGGGGGGACTACGCCCGCTGGTCCGGCGAATTCTCCCTGTCCCCGACTCCAGCTTCCGAGGAAGTCCAGGACCGGCCCCCTCAGATCCCCCCGCGGAACCCCCTGTCCCAGCCAGGCTCGCGCACCCCCAGTCCCATGGGGCTCCAGGTAGGCTCCCCCCAGCAGAGGACAATGGTTTGCCACAGTGCCCCTTCTCCGGCCACATACGGATCTTACCTCTCCACGTCCCCTGGGAAGCTTATGCCCACCACACACAGCTTTGCCTCGGACCCCAAATACGCTGCACCCAAGGTCATCCAAGCACAAGCCCAGGGTAAGGACCTGGCCAAGGGGCCCTGCATTCTGCCCATTGTCCACGAAGGCCGCAAAGTCAGCAACACTCACTACTACCTTCTGCCTGAGAGGCCGCCTTACCTGGACCGCTTCGACCGCTTCTTCAGGGAAGCAGAAAACGTGACGACTGGTGGCAGGGGTGGGATCTGTGAGGAGAGGCGGCAGGCCAACACGGCCACTGTCAGGCCCATGGTGGTGAACCAGCAGCAACAGAAAAAGGGAGGAGATATCAAGGCCAACTTCTCCTCCAACAACAACAGCAGCCTGGGCTGCCGGCTGGGCATGAAGGCCTCCTTCAGCCTGCCCAGGGTCAGCTCAGAGGGGTCAGCCAGCAGGGCAGTGGGTGGAACCACAGCAGACCAGGTCAAGAAGGTGAGTAGTACCGAAAGCGGCAGTCAGATTAGCTTTTTTAAAATCCGTAATCAGTTGATGACTGGAAAGAACATAGTCTATTAGACAAAAACACATAGGCCTAACAAAACAAAACAGAGGCAACAGAGGCAACCATTACTGTTATATTACACCCAAATAGAACTAAAGTATGAGTGATAATGGCGCCGGAGGGGAATGAGAATGGCGCCGGAGGGGAATGAGAATGGCGCCGGAGGAGAATGAGAATGGCGCCGGAGGGGAATGAGAACTGCGCCGGAGGGGAATGAGAACTGCGCCGGAGGGGATGGCTGCCGTTTTACGGGCTCCTAATCAATTGTGTGTTTTTTCGCGTTGTTTGTAACCTATTTTGTACATAATGTTTCTGCCACCGTCTCTTATGACCGAAAAGAGCTTCTGGATATCAGGACAGCGATTACTCACCTCGAACTGGATGAAGATCTTTTCTTTAACGAGTCGGACCACTGTTGTGTCGTCGGCAAACTTAATGATGGTGTTGGAGTCGTGCCTGGCCATGCAGTCATGGGTGAACAGAGAGTACAGGAGGGGACTGAGCACGCACCCCTGAGGGGCCCCCGTGTTGAGGATCAGTGTGGCAGATGTGTTGTTACCTACCCTTACCACCTGGGGGCGGCCTGTCAGGAAGTCCAGGATCCAGTTGCAGAGGGAGGTGTTTAGTCCCAGGATCCTTAGCTTAGTGATGAGCTTAGAGGGCACTATGGTGTTGAATGCTGAGCTGTAGTCAATGAATAGCATTCTCACGTAGGTGTTCCTCTTGTCCAGGTGGGAAAGGGCAGTGTGGAGTGCGATAGAGATTGCATCATCTGTGGATCTGTTGGGGCGGTATGCAAATTGGAGTGGGTCTAGGGTTTCTGGGATTATGCTGTTGATGTGAGCCATGACCAGTCTTTCAAAGCACTTCATGGCTACAGACGTCAGTGCTACGGGTCGGTAGTCATTTAGGCAGGTTATCTTAGAGTTTTTGGGCACGGGGACTATGGTGGTCTGCTTGAAACATGTTGGTATTACAGACTCAGTCAGGGACATGTAGAAAATGTCAGTGAAGACACTTGCCAGTTGGTCAGCACATGCTCGGAGTACACGTCCTGGTAATCCGTCTGGCCCTGCGGCCTTGTGAATGTTGACCTGCTTAAAAGTCTTACTCACATCGGCTACGGAGAGCGTGATCACATAGTCGTCCGGAGCAGCTGGTGCTCTCATGCATGCTTCAGTGTTGCTTGCCTCGAAGCGAGCATAGAAGTGGTTTAGCTCGTCTGGTAGGCTTGTGTCACTGGGCAGCTCGCGGCTGTGCTTCCCTTTGTAGTCTGTAATAGTTTTCAAGCCCTGCCACATCCGACGAGCGTCAGAGCCAGTGTAGTATGATTCAATCTTAGACCTGTATTGACTCTTTGCCTGTTTGATGGTTCATCATAATAAAGAGACACGTGATCGTATATAAATGTAAGCTTGAAATTATTGTTTTAGTCAAATATTATATCTGTTTGGGCTTCTTGATTTGCAATCTACAAATTATTTGTAATTATGTTCCGGCCGCCCGACCAGCCGCTCAAGAAGAATTCGGCCCGCAGCTGAATGTAGTTGATGATCCCTGGAATAGGGTGTCATTTTGGACGCAGCCCCCAATGTTTTGCTTTGGAGACAGTGTTTTCGTGTTTCATGTGCCATCATTGAACTGGAGGGGGCAACAGAGGGCAATTCCTGACCAGTCGTTCCATAACACGAACTCCTGCTGAGGCACAGTTTGTCTGCTTACTGGTTTGTCTGCTTGCTTACTGACATCTTCTCCTTGCTGGTGGATTGATTACTTCCTGACTAAATAGAAATTCAGTATTTCAAGCTGTAACCAAATTGCCTATTGATGTATAACAACCAAATTAAATTTGTGCACCGAGAGCACTTGGGAAGATGGATGGACTGAGCAAGTGGTCTCGGAAAAGGTTCAATAAGGAGTCTGCATTAAAGCAGTCAGTCAGAAGTCAGTCAGTCACTCACTCATTAAAGCACTCACTCACTCATCAAAGCACTCACTCACTCGCTGCATTTCAATTCTCTACCCTTTTCAAAAAGTGTGCACTCATTCACTCCTCCATGCATTGAAAAGTATTGGATTGGTGCAAGCATGGGCTGCAGGGAGTTTCCACCATATTGCTCAGACCAGTCCATTCCTTTTAAATCCATGAGGTGGAGTGTACGAGTGCACACTTTGGGAGAAGGGTAGAGAATACGATTGAAGCCACTCACTCACTCAAAAAGACTGACAGACACTCAAAACCAAAACTCAAAATTTTCCACAATATATTAGACTTGTAGAACAAACATAATGAACATGCCACTTGCCTCTAAAGCATTAGTGTCTGAGCATAGTTTAATCATTATTCAGAAAAAGTTTTGTGTATGTGGTTTTGATTGACAGCGGAGGACTGCCGAGCTGATTGGTCAGTGTAGCAGCAGCATTGACCTGATTGGTTGATTTTGTAGAGGACAGCAGAGCTGATTGGTTAGTGTAGCAGCAGCGTTGACATGATTGGTTGTTTTGTGTGGTGTCCACAGGTGCAGGAGGCGGTACATGGTGTGACAATAGAGGAGTGTCAGACAGCCCTCCGGAACCACGACTGGGACGTGCAGAAAGCTGTGCACTACCTCAAGGTAGGGTCCCTTGGAGGAATTACACTATGACCTTGTCACACTACGGAGCCAATCAGAGCTGTACTACATTGGCCTGGTTATACATCCACCATAGTTGCTGGAACCGTGCTGGAAAGGATAATGCAATTACAACATTTCTAATCACAGCACTATATAAACTCTCAATGATTTATAAACTCCCAATGATTTATAAACTCCCAATGATTTATAAACTCCCAATGATTTATAAACTCCCAATGATCTATAAACTCTCAATGATCTATGAACTCCCAATGATCTATGAACTCCCAATGATTTATAAACCGAGCACGCCCCCATTCTCATCGACGGGGCTGTAGTGGAACAGGTTGAGAGCTTTAAGTTCCTTGGTGTCCACATCACCAAAAAACTAACATGGTCCAAGCACACCAAGACAGTCGTGAAGAGGGCACAACAAAACCTATTCCCCCTAAGGAGACTGAAAAGATTTGGCATGGGTCCTCAGATCTTCAAAAGGCTCTACAGCTGCACCATCGAGAGCATCCTGACTGGTTGCATCACTGCCTGGTATGGCAACTGCTCGGCCTCCGACCGCAAGGCACTACAGAGGGTAGTGCGTACGGCCCAGTACATCACTGGGGCCAAGCTTCCTGCCATCCAGGACCTCTATACCAGGCGGTGTCAGAGGAAGGCCCTAAAAATTGTCAAAGACTCCAGCCACCCTAGTCATAGACTGTTCTCTCTGCTACTGCACGGCAGGCGGTACCGGAGCGCCAAGTCTAGGTCCAAGAGGCTTCTTAACAGCTTCTACCCCCAAGCCAGAAGACTCCTGAACATCTAATCAAATGGCTACCCAGACTATTTGCATTGCCCCCCCATTCCTCTTTTACGCTGCTGCTACTCTCTGTTTATTATCTATGCATAGTCACTTTAATAACTATACCTACATGTACATATTACCCCAATTACCTCAATTAACTGGTGCCCCCGCACATTGACTCGGTACCGGTATCCCCTGTATATAGCCTCGCTATTGTTATTTTTACTGCTGCTCTTTAATTATTTGTTACTTTTATTTCGTATGATTTTATATTGTATTTTTCTGTGATGTTTTTAGGTATTCTTTCTTAAAACTGCATTGTTGGTTAAGGGCTTGTAAGTAAGCATTTCACTGTAAGGTCTACACCTGTTGTATTCGGCACATGTGACAAATAACATTTGATTTGATCTATAGTCATTGGCAGTATATAGACGTCAAAAGCCTACCAGACGAGCTAAACCACTTCTATGCTCGCTTCGAGGCAAGCAACACTGAAGCATGCATGAGAGCACCAGCTGTTCCGGACGACTATGTGATCACGCTCTCCGTAGCCGATGTGAGTAAGACTTTTAAGCAGGTCAACATTCACAAGGCCGCAGGGCCAGACGGATTACCAGGACGTGTACTCCGAGCATGTGCTGACCAACTGGCAAGTGTCTTCACTGACATTTTCAACATGTCCCTGACTGAGTCTGTAATACCAACATGTTTCAAGCAGACCACCATAGTCCCCGTGCCCAAGAACTCTAAGATAACCTGCCTAAATGACTACCGACCCGTAGCACTGACGTCTGTAGCCATGAAGTGCTTTGAAAGACTGGTCATTGCTCACATCAACAGCATAATCCCAGAAACCATAGACCCACTCCAATTTGCATACCGCCCCCAACAGATCCACAGATGATGCAATCTCTATCGCACTCCACACTGCCCTTTCCCACCTGGACAAGAGGAACACCTACGTGAGAATGCTATTCATTGACTACAGCTCAGCATTCAACACCATAGTGCCCTCTAAGCTCATCACTAAGCTAAGGATCCTGGGACTAAACACCTCCCTCTGCAACTGGATCCTGGACTTCCTGACGGGCCGCCCCCAGGTGGTAAGGGTAGGTAACAACACATCTGCCACACTGATCCTCAACACGGGGGCCCCTCAGGGGTGCGTGCTCAGTCCCCTCCTGTACTCTCTGTTCACCCATGACTGCATGGCCAGGCACGACTCCAACACCATCATTAAGTTTGCCGACGACACAACAGTGGTAGGCCTGATCACCGACAACGATGAGACAGCCTATAGGGAGGAGGTCAGAGATCTGGCCGTGTGGTGCCAGGACAACAACCTCTCCCTCAACGTGACCAAGACAAAGGAGATGATTGTGGACTACAGGAAAAAAAAGAGGACTGAGCACGCCCCCATTCTCATCGACGGGGCTGTAGTGGAACAGGTCGAGAGCTTCAAGTTCCTTGGTGTCCACATCACCAACGAACTATCATGGTCCAAACACACCAAGACAGTCGTGAAGAGGGCACGACAAAGCCTATTCCCCCTCAGGAGACTAAAAAGATTTGGCATGGGTCCTCAGATCCTCAAAAAATTCTACAGCTGCACCATCGAGAGCATCCTGACTGGTTGCATCACCGCCTGGTATGGCAACTGCTTGGCCTCTGACCGCAAGGCACTACAGAGGGTAGTGCGTACGGCCCAGTACATCACTGGGGCAAAGCTCCCTGCCATCCAGGACCTCTATACCAGGCGGTGTCAGAGGAAGGCCCTCAAAATTGTCAAAGACTCCAGCCACCCTAGTCATAGACTGTTCTCTCTGCTACCGCACGGCAAGCGGTACCGGAGTGCCAAGTCTAGGTCCAAAAGACTCCTCAACAGCTTCTACCCCCAAGCCATAAGACTCCTGAACAGCTAATCATGGCTACCCGGACTATTTGCACTGCCCCCCCACCCCATCCTTTTTACGCTGCTGCTACTCTGTTAAGTATTTATGCATAGTCACTTTAACTCTACCCACATGTACATATTACCTCAACTAGCCGGTGCCCCCGCACATTGACTATGCAACGGTACCCCCCTGTATATATAGCCTCCCTACTGTCACTTTATTTTACTGTATATATAGCCTCCCTACTGTCACTTTATTTTACTTCTGCTCTTTTTTTCTCAACACTTTTTTGTTGTTGTTTTATTCTTACTTTTTTGTTTAAAATAAATGCACTGTTGGTTAAGGTCTGTAAGTAAGCATTTCACTGTAATGTCTGCACCTGTTGTATTCGGCGCATGTGACCAATACAATTTGATTTGATTTGATTTGATTTGATATAGTGTGTGACTTCCTTTATTTTTCCTTAGGAAGTTGTGGAAATAAAACCGCTCTAGCTTACAAACGGGATTAAGTCCTTTCTACAGTAGTTAACCCAACAAAACCTTTGCTGATTTGAAATATCTGACGACGGATACAGCAGTAATACTATGTCTTTAGAGATGACGATGAGTAGCGAGGGTGAGTTGTAACTGATCCTATCCTGTTGTTGTCAAGGTTGAGCAGCTGTTCTGTCTTGGCCTGAAGACCAGGCTGGAGTGTCTCAAGGTGCTGGAGATGTACAACTGGAACCTGGAAGTGGCCAGCACTCAGCTCCTGGACTCATACGGCTCCGTCAAGCAAAGGTAACATAGAATTCTGGAGAACTTAAAGGGGTAGTTTGGGATTTTGGCAATGAAGCCCTTTTATCTACTTGCTAGCTGATCCCGAAGACTTCCAGTATTTGCGCTAACACTAGTTAGCATTTGCTCGCAAAACTACCTGTAACTAACTTCCTTCATACTGGACGCAGAGACATAAAATTTGTTCCATGACTTAATCTGTGGGAAAAATAGATACAGTCCCTTCAGGAAGTATTCACACCCCTTTACTTTTTCCACATTTTATTGTGTAACAGCCTGAATTTAAAATTGATTAAATTTAGATTTTGTGTCAATGATCTACACACAATACCCCATAATGTAAAAGTGCAATTTTGTTTGTAGAATGTTTTTTAAATGAAAAACATAATTAAGCTGACATTTCTTGAGTCAATAAGTATTCAACACCTTTGTTATGGCAAGCCTAAATAAGTTCAGGAGTAAAAATTTTACAAATCGCATAATAAGTTGCATGGACGTGTTCAATAATAGTGGTTAACATGATTTTTGTATGACTACCCCATCTCTGTACCCCACATGTACAATTATCTGTAATCAAGTAGTGAATTTCAAGCACAGATTCAACCACAAAGACCAGGGAGGTTTTTCAATACCTTGCAAAGAAGGTGGTCCTCTGTAGCTCAGCTGGTAGAGCACGGCGCTTGTAACGCCAAGGTAGTGGGTTCGATCCCCGGGACCACCCATACACAAAAAATGTATGCACGCATGACTGTAAGTCGCTTTGGATAAAAGCGTCTGCTAAATGGCATATTATATTATTATTATAAAGAAGGGCACTGATTGGTAGATGTGTAAAACAAATAAAATAAAAGCAGACGCTGAATATCCCTTTGAGCGTGGTAAAGTTATTAATTAGGCTTGAGATGGTGTATCAATACACCCAGTCATTACAAAGATACAGGCATCCTTCATAACTCAGTTGCCGGAGAGGAAGGAAACTGCTCAGGGATTTCACCAATGGAGCCCAATGGTGATTTTAAAATGGATATAGAGTTTAATGATTGTGATATGAGAAAACTGAGGATGGATCAACAACATTGTAGTCACTCCACAATACTAACCTAAATGACAGAGTGAAAAGAAGGAAGCCTATACAGAATAAAATTTTTCCAAAACATGCATCATGTGGCAAAGAAATTAACTTTTAGTCCTGAATACAATGCGTTATGTTTGGGGCAAATCCAACACAACACATCACTGAGTACCACTCTTCATATTTTCAAGCATGGTGGTGGCTGCATCTTGTTATGGGTATGCTTGTCAGGATAAAAATAAACGTTATAGCAAAATCCTAGAGGAAAACCTGGTTCAGTCTGCTTTCCAACAGACACTGGTAGACAGATTCACCTTTCAGCAGGACAATAACCTAAAACACAAGGACAAATCTACACTGGAGTTGCTTACCAAGACGACATTGAATGTTCCAGAGTGGCCTAGTTACAGTTTTGACTTATATCTGCTTGAAAATATATGGCAAGACTTGAAAATGGCTGTCTAGCAATGATCAAGAATAAACTTGACAGAGCTTTAAGAATTTTTTTAAGAATAATGGGCAAATATTGTATAATAATAATAATATGCCATTTAGCAGACGCTTTTATCCAAAGCGACTTACAGTCATGCGTGCATAAATATTTTTTTTTTGTGTATGGGTGGTCCCGGGGATCGAACCCACTACCTTGGCGTTACAAGCGCCGTGCTCTACCAGCTGAGCTACAGAGGACCACGTATAATCCAGGACTGCAAAGCTTTTAGATACTTACCCAAGAAAGACTCACAGCTGTAATCGCCGCCAAAGGTGCTTCTACAAAGTATTGACTCAGGGGTGTGATTACTTATGTAAATTAGATACTTCTGTATTTCATTATCAATACATTTCTAAAAACATGTTGTTTAAATTTTTGCAATATGGGGTATTGTGTGTAGATGGGTGAGAAAAGAAATCGCCATTTAATCCATTTTGAATTCAGGCTGTAACACAACACAATGTGGAATAAGTCAAGGGGTATGAATACTTTCTGAAGGCACTGTAGTGCAAAAATAAAATAAAAAATACATTTTATTATTTTTTATTATTTTATTGGGTGGTTGTCCCACTGGCTATCCTAAGTTGAATGCACCAATTTGTAAGTCGCTCTGGATAAGAGCGTCTGCTAAATTACTTAAATGTAAATGTAGTGCCAAAATCCTGAACTATCCCTTTAAGAGTAGACCTCAGGAGAATTTACGGCAATCTAACCCTGCTGTTGCTGATGCTGGCTTTTGCTCCAGACAAACAGCCAAACACATGGGCCATGTTCAGTAGGGCATACTGTAACTAAACGTTTTGAATAGGAAAATAAAAAGGAAACAGGTAGTCCCTGTTTCAGTCTGAACTCTTCCGTTTGGTGCCTAATGAACAAGTCACAAGAATCAGTTCGATGTGCTGCTGCTTGGTCCAGCCCAATAACCTGATATACTTGTGTTTATCCACAATTTAAACTGTATCAATTTATGTTAATCTAGCACCAAGTAAAATAGATAGAATTGTGAATGTACTTTGATTTGTTTTGAAATAATGGAACATGAAAATAAACCTCTCATCCCATTGCAGGCGGTGACCGATGTCGCTAGGAGCAACAGCAACAGAGTCCGCTCGGAACTTGTTTTATTCGTCATCTGTCTTTGAGGGGACGGAGTCTGCTCCCATCCCTATTTCACGACTTGCCAGACGCATCCAATAAGAAGACCGGGATTTGAGTGTGGACTTGGGGTACATTTGACTGTGTGATGGGCCATGGCTGCAGTCTTGCCTACACTGAGGACCTGGAGGCAAGCCTACACTGAGGACCTGGAGGATAGCCTACACTGAGGACCTGGAGACTAGCCTACACTGAGGACCTGGAGGATAGCCTACACTGAGGACCTGGAGACTAGCCTACACTGAGGACCTGGAGGCTAGCCTACACTGAGGACCTGGAGACTAGCCTACACTGAGGACCTGGAGACTAGCCTACACTGAGGACCTGGAGACTAGCGTACACTGAGGACCTGGAGGCTAGCCTACACTGAGGACCTGGAGACTAGCCTACACTGAGGACCTGGAGGCTAGCCTACACTGAGGACCTGGAGGCTAGCCTACACTGAGGACCTGGAGACTAGCCTACACTGAGGACCTGGAGGCTAGCCTACACTGAGGACCTGGAGGCAAGCCTACACTGAGGACCTGGAGGCTAGCCTACACTGAGGACCTGGAGGCTAGCCTACACAGAGGACCTGGAGGCTAGCCTACACTGAGGACCTGGAGGCTAGCCTACACTGAGGACCTGGAGGCTAGCCTACACTGAGGACCTGGAGGCTAGCCTACACTGAGGACCAGGAGGCTAGCCCATACTGAGGACCTGGAGGCAAGCCCACACTGAGGACCTGGAGGCTAGCCCGCTCTACCACCGAATAGGAATGGAAGTCGACTTAGAATGCAGGTAGTGGAACCATACTCTTGAAGGGACCATGATGTCTGCTGGTCCCTACCCTATAGCTCAACACTGAAGGAAAAACATCCTCTTTTTCGTTGCTGGTCTCCCCGATTTAGTTATATCACTGCCACAATACACCTTTGACCAACGAGGCTGACCTCTGTGTGTTATTACTGACATATGAATCAGGGGAGAGTGGCGTCCCTTTGAAAACCAGCAGAAACTGTAGTCCCATAGAAGAAGAGTAGCCATCTCCTCTGCCAAGCTCTCCCCTACGGTATGTGAGCTGTGTCAGGCTCCTCGGTTTGGATAGGGGCTTGTTTTAGGGAGGTCAGCGTCTTTCTGCTGCGCCGCCCGCCCTCCCAGCCTCCCTAAGGTGCTCTACTGCGTTTTAGCAGAGGACAAAGTTCAGAAAAGCCCACCTGGATGGAGAGAAAGAACACAAAGGAGAAAGAAACAAAATGCAGCTGGTCCACGTTTAAGTCGACTCCTTTTTTTATGTTCTATTCTACAGAGTTTTCTACTTGATTTATATTAAGGAGAGGAATTAACGGAGATTTCTACTTCATTTATATTAAGGAGAGGAATTAACAGAGATTTGTATAATGCACACATACAGTGTATTACATACATGAAAAGTTCAGTTTATATATTTGCAGCGAATATGTACTGGAAGTTGGTATTTTTTGTTTTTAATATATTTTGGTTTTGAACCCGGTGGTTTGAAAAGGGGAACATATTGAAAACGTTCAATTCTTGATATTTTTGTATATATTTTTTTGGGGTCAGTTATTAAAGCCATGTATGTTGTGCTCCCCTGAATCAAGTTCACTTATGGCTCTAAGTGCTATCAATCTGATCCACTCCAAATGTCCATTTAGCACTTTTGGTGTACTTTATGACACCTGACCATTCATTATGCTCTCACACCATCATCTACTCTAAGCACTTGCCCACACAAGACAACTGTAAAAAAAAATCACCCACTGGCTTCCTATTTTACCATGTTTAAAGCACGTTGATAATTCTAGTATTAATTAAGAACATTGCCAGCACTCTAGGACAAAAAGCCCCCCCCCCCCCACACCCCAAGTTCATGATGATACCCCGAGTCTCTCCCTAAACTATTAGGTGCTAAAACCCTCGGACAGCACCCATAGGTAATCCACAATTTTGACGGGGAAGACTTGATACCACTGGCTCTAGTTGATTACTCACTCATTCATTCACTGGACATTAGTCTCAGACAATGAAGTGTATAACCTAGAGCAAACTGTATAGTAATATGAGAGAGTTTCTGTTTTATACGGTCTTATCCTGATGCACGCAGTCTGCTGGTTTTCCGTGTGTTATGATTCGAATTACGTTTTTTGGCGAACTGAACATTAATATAACATACACTGAAGAAAAATATAAACACAACATGTAAAGTGTTGGTCCCATGTTTCATGAGCTGAAATAAAAGATCACAGAAAAAAAGCGTATTTCTCTACCAACATCGTTTTACAGAATTTGACAGTACGTCCAACCGGCCTCACAACCGCAGACCACGTGTATGGTGTCGTGTGGGCGAGCGGTTTGCTGATGTCAACGTTGTGAACAGAGTGCCCCATGGTGGCGGTGGGGTTATGGTATGGGCAGGCATGAGTTACGGACAACGAACACAATTTTATCAATGCCGATTTGAATGCACAGAAATGCCGTGAAGAGTTTGTGAGGCCCATTTTTTTTAAGGTACTGTATCTGTGACCAACAGATGCATATCTGTATTCCCAGTCGTGTAATCCATAGATTAGGGCCTAATTTATTTATTTAAATTGACTGATTTCCTCATATGAACTGTAACTAACTAAAATCTTTGAAATTGTTGCGTTTATATTTTTGTTCACTATATAATATATGCCATTTAGCAGAGGCTTTTATCCAAAACAAATTGCGGTCATGCATGCATACATTTTGTACGTATGGGTGGTCCCAGCAATGGAACCCACTATGCTGGCGTTGCAAGCGCCATGCTCTACCAACTGAGCTACATCAGACCACAATAAACCCAATAACTTTTTATAGTTGATTTCAATCTGAAAATCAATCTTACATGAGAAGGCCTAAACTGACTTCAAATGAGTTTAAATTCAAGCACAGACTAACACGGTAAAACTATCAGACTTCTAGAAGACCACTCCTACCTTATAGTGGGCTTGCAGGCTGATAATTATCCTGTATTTGCACTGTACCAATTTGGACTTGTGTGACTGTGTTTTATTTGTTTGTGTCTCTGTGTGTGAAACTCCAGAGAGAATGTTATGCCAAGTAGTTGTGATCGGTGTTGATTAGAACACCGTGTCTGTCTGTGAACCGTCCCGTAGACACTTTGGCCATGTTCCAAACTCAAAACGTTGTCTCCTTGCCTCTCGGTCGTTTACCATCGCAGATAACAAAGTTCTGGATAGGTGAAACCAATTTGCCAAAAACTTCACATAGCCTCTAATGCAGGGTTTAATGTAGTGGAACTATCAGTCATACATATCTCCTCCTTAAGATTCACCCAGGCCAGTCCTCAAAGGGCAGAGGTAAAGTCTCCATGTTTATGGTTTGGAACACAGTCATAGTTGAGCTTTTCCTGTACGCAATAATAAGGCACATGTAACCTCTTCCAACAGTCAAGGTCATCCAGACGTTGACAAAAAGAGAATGCTTCCATTGCTGTGAACTCCTTGATGCACAGAAAAATCCACATTGTAGTTCCAAGTGTTTTGTGGCACAGTCTGATGATGTCACGATAAGGCGACCCGGTCCCCATGCTGTAGTTGTAGAAGGACTGACGCAACCTTATGTTCATGTTGTTCTTAAGTTGATCGTTGTATTACATTTGTGTTGGTTTGTTGTTCGTTCAATCCGATGTACCTGTACTAGAGGTCTTCATGGGTCCAAACAGTTGGACCTGTTCCGAAATGGACCTGGGGCTTTCCCACCCGGACCCGATATGCACAAGTTATTTATTATTTTAGAGGGAGAAAGGTGCTGCTCGAGCAGGTGAGGAGGGGCCGTACTGTGAGTGACATGGAGAGCGGGGAAAGAAACCTAGTCAGTTGCACAACAACATTCAACCAACATGTGTCTTCCCCATTTTAACCCAACCCCTCTGAATCAGAGAGGTGCGGGGGGGCTGCTTTACCGAGATCCATGTCATCGGCACCCGGGGATTGGGTGTTGTTGGGAGGTTAACTGTCTTGCTCAAGGGCAGAACGGCAGATTTTTTTCACCTTGACAGCTCAAGGATTCAAACCAGCAACCTTTCCTTTACTGCCCCAACGCTCTTAACCGCTAGGTGACAAGGGGAGCAGGGAGGGAGAGACGAGAGACAGCAACCAACCAAGCCAACTCGCGCTATAGTAGACTAATAGCTTCCGTAGCTAGGTTATCATCCAATAGGATTACGTAGTACCTGTCTTGACGGCATCAAACCGGGAAGAGAAGCTAGTGAAGCTGGCTAACTGAGGCTGCAGTTCATGCGCGTTCTCATCCTACAATTACAAACAACTACTCCATTCAGAATATTAAGTAGCCACCTACCTGTTGTCTCGTGGTCATTGTAGCCTATCCTTCTCCTTTATCTTTTAATTCCATCATTTTAATTCCATCTTCCATTGATTTAGATATCTCCTAACTTCTGCCACACACGGAGCGAGGCTATTGCCGATTTGATGACTTATGATTGGCCAACAATAAGCAACACTCCACTGTCGTGAAAAGCAAGAGCAAGTAGATAGAAAGGATGAAAAGGTGTGAGGAGAGAGAGATCCGAAGCGAGAGAGAGAGAGAGAGGAGAGAGAGAGAGAGTAGAGGAGAGACGAGGAGACGAGAGAGAGGAGAGAGAGAGCGAGAGAGAGAAGCAGAGAGAGAGAGAGAGGAGGGAGCGAGAGGGAGGGAGAGAGAAGAGACTCATACTCGCTCTCTCTATCGCTCGCTCTATCTCTCTAGTTACTCTCTCTCTCTCTCTCTCTCTCTCTCTCTCTCTCTCTCTCTCTCTCTCTCTCTCTCTCTCTCTCTCTCTCTCTCTCTCTACTGCAGCAGTCGCATTCGGATCTGTACAGTCCCTCCCGGACAAGTCAGTTAAAATTACACATACCCGAGACCCGTGACAATCATATCAGATCTGACCCAGACCCGTGAAATTTTTTAGAATTCTGGAACCGGACCCGTTCGGGTCCCA